GACGCAGGAAGGAAACGAATATTTGTTTTTTGAGAAACAAATTTAAGGTGTGAAGACAGCAAAGACCTAAACGAACGCAATGTTTACCAATTATGAGTTTGTGCGAATTTTAAATCTGATGATGGCGCTGTTGTCTCGCCGAAACGTTATGGAATAAACGATGTTCAAAAGTGTTTACTTCACACTTTGACCGAGACCCCGGAAAGATCAGAAGTTCCTCAAAAATGGTTTGCAAACCTCCAAAACTTACCATCAGCTCGATGGTTTGGTCCACCACACTTCCGCCGCCTTGCGCTCTGTCGTTCAAAACGACTATCCCTTTAGTGCTTCCATCCTGGATAGAAATTCCGGTAGTGACCGGATAATAGTTGGCAGCCTCCGGTTCGACCACCGTGATGTTCCAGGTGGGTCGGAAGTTCCTGATTCGCTCAATGAACTCCCGGCCGTTCGTGTCTGTGTAAACTTTGCCCTCGAAGTCTGCGGTAAATCGCACGATAACTTCCACCCCATTTTCGTCACTAGGAACACAAGAGGAACTTTCTACGGGGCTTCTATGCTAAGGTCTATGGAAGAACTTACTAAGGCAAAGGGCCAACCAAGTGGACATACTCGGACACTAAAGAGTCGTTATAATGGCGCACAACGGCGCTAAACCAGTCGTTGTAATAAACATGATCCTCCGTTAGCAGAGGTCCAGAGTAGGTAGTCACGTGGCTCACTTCAATCGATTGCAGAGGAATGTCTGGATGGGGTCGGAAAATGTAGGGAGTTGAGGGGGTGGAGTCAGCCGAGCTGGAGTCTCCAGAATTTCCAGTGTAGTACTGGAACTCCACGCTGACTCCCAGAGTTTCAGCCAGCGATCGCAGTTTGCCTGGGAAGGCCTGCGATTTTGTGACCCGCCCAGCAGGGGATTTCTGCCGGGTTCTTTGGATAAAGTAGGACTTGTAGCCGAGGGCCGGAATGTCTTCGGCGACAAACACCAAGTCAAATTTGGCCTCACTGTTGCGGCCCGGCACTGCTAGCACGGACTCATGGATGGGGACTATCTGTGCAATAACACGCCCGCCTGAAACGAAGACACTTGCCGATAAAAGTCTCTTTGGTTTGGCTGGTGTTTACCTGAAGGGTTGCGGATGTCTATCTGGTCTTCATTGTCGTCGACCACTGGCAACCTCACGTATTTGCTGACTGGTCTTCCCAGGGGATTATACAGGGTGAGCACGAAGCTCTCCTCCTTTTCCGCAACAGCACATTCGCTAATGTTCAGCATGTGGCATGTGGTGAATTCTGTATCGGCGGCCTGCGTCAGCTTCCTAAGAGGTTTAGTTCATTTGACTTGAGATTTGTCAAGTTGAGGAAGTTTTGTGCAAATTTATTTTTCTCTTCGGAAATTTAACTTTGTCGTACAAAGTTGGTCTAAACATCACAAACGTGTCTTTCTCGCTAACTAAACGCGCTAAGTATCTTTTCAGCTCAAAATCGTCGTTTTTGTTCGAATTTAGGAAGTTTTCTGACTGAAGTTTTTTTGTGAAATTCAACTTTGTCGTACAAAGTTGGTCTTCAGACAAGACAAGAGATGAGTCTATTTGAGCTTACGCTAGCGCTTGACTGGTGATGTCCTCGCATTCGGTGATGCCCTTGTGGAGCAGATGAATATAGTCGTGAGCGACGTTTTCCTTTTCAGTGCCTGTGATGCCATCGTGATGCTGGAACACTCCCAGAGCTTCCCGTAAAGTGTTCAGCTTGGCAGTGTCCTCATCAGAGGTGGCGTCCGTCAGGACGCTCAGTTGTTTGCAGACCTGGCATTGTTTCAGCTTGCTCTTTTGTCAGCAGGCTTAGCAAAATACTCACCTGCAGGAAATTGTTGCTGAACCTGTTGTAGCCTTTGCCGGTTGGCCTCGATGTAAAATAGCCCGACCAGTAGGTGTGGTCTGATGATCCGTATGGGAAGAAGTCGTCAGTCTTCAAGGGAACGTCCAAAACCCCATTGGTTGCTTCGTAGACAGCATTTAGGTAGCAGGAGGGCGTGGAGTAGATCACGTTGTACTTGACGCCCTCGATTTCCTTTCCGCTCATGTACCTTGCAAAGGGCAGAGGGAGTTAGCGGGGGGAAAACTGGGGACTGTGAAGTTACCTGATGAGTTTGTCGATATTGGCGAAGTTTTTGCCGGCAGCCTGATATTGGAAGTCGTCCCCCATCGGCACTAGAATGTTGTCGGAGGCGTAGCCGCTCCTGGCCGGAGTTATCCAGTCGCTAATGAAGTTCCTCACTTTGTTCTCCACGTTGTACTCGGGGCTCTCTGGATCGTCAATTATTGGCTCGTCCGCGCAGTTCACATCGAAGCAAAGCCCCGAAGGGGCGCTGTAGTGCCGGAACAGAACGTTGCTGTAAATATCGGTGGATTCTCCTGCGGGGATTTCACTTGTGAGTCACTCCCAAGCGGAAAGTGTAGCAGACAGACCGAGATTATCCGGGCTGCCTCGCCAGACGAACTCCATCTGCTTGTTGGTCCTTCGGATCTGCAGGTCTTGAGAGTCGATTCTGTTCAAGAAGAAGCCGTCGAAGCCGATTTGCGCAAAAATCGACGCCATCTCCCTGCTGTGCCCGAACGGGTCGATTTGCCACGCAACCCGTGGGCGGCCGCACTCTCCAAATGTGTCATTCAGTCGTCTGGAATGCCAATTCGCTTGGTTGGGTTAAAAACTGGGGGGAAAACTCTCCACCCACCTCAAGCCCCAAGTCATCTGGTCGATGGTGTCTTGATAGTAAGTGGTGGCTTCGTCGTTCATCGACCAGCCGCCGCTGATGAACTCCAACTGGCCATTGTTTACGAGCTGGCGAACATCGCTTCTCACGTCTTCTTCTTGGTTGGTCCACCATTTCCAGAAGTATCCAGTTTCCACGTAGATGAACCTGGGGATTCGGCTGGCGTGAGAATTGCTCCTTGTTGGGAACTTACTGTTGGGAACCTTCTGTCCTTGTTGCTCTTCAACGCATCGACCACACTGCTGATGATGTATTGGACGCCGGCTCGCTGCACGTTGTCGTGAGCTGCAAAGAGGTGCATTTAGTGCTCCAGTGATGCGTTTGGGACTTTCGAGCCTGGACACTTACAGCCATAGTAGTACTGCTCGAAGGTCTTTAGCCATCCCAAATCGTCGTGACTGTGGGGAACCAGATGGATGTT